TTGAGTACTCAAGGCTTTATACTTTCATGCACTCTGGGGAAAGACAACTTCAAAACAGAGCAATAAATTAGCTCATTTTGGGAGTGAGAGGGAGTGGCAGAAAAAAATGGTTGTGTATAACTTACCTACCTGCTTCAGAACTGCGTTTTTACAAGCCTGCCTTGTCAGAAAAAGCGCCCGTTGTAATTTTTCCACATTATCCTTAGTACCTTCTGGTGTAACAACAGATTATCTATGTGCTCAAAACCAGCTGGATTAATTTTTTTTTTATCCTGAATGCTCTGAGGGGGGAAAAAAAAAGCTGTATGCCGGAAAGAAAAAAAGTACAGACAGAGTATATCGTAGGAGGCAGCTGCTGTTTGCCTAGCCAGTAATTTAATGAGTTGCATATGATGATTCACTTAAATTGTTTGCTATGTTCCTGAGCGTAGTATTGGAAGCTGAAGACGCTGATTGCCCTGCATCCACTAGCGCGTTATATTGTTTGAACTTCCAACAAGTGAATTTTCAAAAATATATGCTTTTCACTGCTGACATAGCCATCCTCAAATGTATTTCTTAAGATGTTTTTGGTGGTGAGAACATTGTAAGAAATTATTCATTCTGCCATTCTTTAAAAAAAGGTGAAACTTCACCTTAGGGCAACAGAAAGGGACGGCAGTTGGAGTTCTGGTTTCCTTGTGCCACTCTTCTCTAGCTCATGTCTGAGGAGTGCTGCCAGCATGTACTTTTTCCAATACTGGAATTATTGAATGTTTCCCTCCATGGTGGGCAGTTGCTTAAGGTTTTCTTCTAGATGTCAGGCGAGTTTTCTTCTGAACTTGGGAATTAATGATGTTCTCTGATACAAAAGCATGGCCCTGCTGGCTCCCAAGAGGCGCGCTGCTGCATCAGAACGCGTCTGGGGAAGGGAGGCTGTCGCAGGCAGCAGGAACATCAGCACCTTTTCTCATACAGTCACTGAAATAGAATCCGTTTTATCTTGCAGCACTTTTTAATACATGGAAGCTAAACAGTGTTGTTTAGTTTGCTCTGCTGTCATTGGTATGAAACTCAACTGCATCGCAACTGAAAGAAGTGGGATGGGCAAAAGGTGAGGCTGAATGTGACCTACACCGCTGCCAGGTCTGTGCCTCTGCTGTCAAACAGCCGTGTGCTGCCCGTGGTTCTCCCTGCGCACCCCGGGGTTCTGCAAGGGTAAGTTTAGCAAGATCTCTGCTGACTTTATACAGAACCTACTTTTCTGCTCTTTAAACAAGCATTTGTTTGTTGGTGCTGTTTTGGGGATACGTGCGGGAGAGTATATAGATTTTTCTAGGCCAAGAACGAGATGGTTTTGTTTGCACACCAAGTTCAATGGAATCTCCCTGAGACAATGCTTTCTGTGACCATCCTGCAGAGAGCTGGCAGCTTTTGGACACCTACAGCTGAATGGTGTGCCCGCTGCATTGTGTGGCTTTTTCTCCTTCTTGTGGTCTCTGGTGGCAGTGTGTAGCCCGATGCTGCGTCTGGAACTCAAGTGTTACCAAGAGCATTGTGTTGACAAGGCTGGCAAAGAAGTTGTCTGATGCTAAAACTTACTCCTCTACCACATTCCTTCACTTCCAACTTAAGATTTCTTTTGCTGTCCCATCTCATCTTCCCACTGTCAATGTACGCATCCTGTCATGCTGTGACCAGCACTACTGTGTTCTGTTAGCCAATTTAACTACCTGTCGTCATGAGAGAACCCAGATACTTGGACATCAATATCTCCAGAAAGAACAAGTGTGTGTTTTACACTCAAATAGGAGATCTAGAAATTCTTTTTTTTTTAATCAGCAAAAGTGCTTTTAAAAGCTTAATGTTTACAAACTAAAACTGAAAACTTCATAAGCCAATGTAAATCTTATTTTGGGTATCTACAAAGGGATCCTGGTAAACTTAATTCTGCATTAAAATGGTGCCATTATTTCTGTATTCTAACATAATCTTCTAATCCAATGCATTTGTTGAAAAGCCAAAGCTATTTAAAGCTTTTAGTTGTATGAAACAGTCCAATTTAGTTTTGAGGTGCCTGTCAGTTTTACCTCAGCTGAATAGCTGCTACAGGTATTCATGACTTAGCTTGGCATTTATTACCTGTCTTTAAACAGAGAATTTATGACATTGAAAACAAGTTTCTCTTCTGAGAAATCACGGGGAAGTGGTGAAAACATGACGTTGTCAGCTTATGAATGTAATCCACCAACATTCTCATTTATGTACCACAGACAAAGGAACCCAGGGCTCGAACCAAGTCAAAGTGACTTTTTTTTAATCTTCAAGAAAAACCTACAACTGTCACATCCTCTCTGTACCAAAACATGTTTTGATCCAAAAATTGGAGCCCCATGGACTGCTTTCTGTTTATTCTTACTGCTCAGTAAACAGTGCCAGTGGTTCATTTGAAAGATGAGTAACTGCCTGTGTAGAAAAGAGTGTTAGTTTTCCAAGAGAAAATTAAGACTTTGCAGAGGATTTTTTCTTTTGCTATATAGCAACATGAATAAAAGCACTAGAAATGGGCTGGCCTGCCTCAAAGTATTTTGCCATGTACTCAGCTTATTTTTATAATGTCTTTTATTCTTACATGTTACTAACAAGGCTCCCTTCAGATTCAGTACCTTGCTTTAATCATGAAGACATCAATATTTTCAGTCAACTTTATTGATAAAATAAGTTTACTGTACAGTACACAAATCTAGCCATAAATTCTTTTCAAGCCATCTGCATTACAAAAATAACAGGTATGCAATGAAAAATAGTCACTCCACACACTGTGAAGGTTCTTTAAATTCCTAAAACGATCAGGTCAGGGGAATGAAAGGGGAGACGTATCAAATATGAAGGCTAGGTAGTAGATAAATTAAGTCACATTTTTTTAATTTACAAAAATATACACTAATCAAGCATTATTTCATAATAGAGCAACCTTAAAGAACTGCCACAGACTAACAACCCTTCTCTGCTATACAGCTCTGGAGATTGTGTTTGAAAGACAAACCGGTAAGTCAGCCATGAAACTGCGTTCAGCATTAAATGGATATAAATGCCTCTGATACTAGCTGATGGCTGAGAAGACATGTCTAAAAAGAACGACTTAACTGAACACAAAACTTCTAAGTTCGCAACAACAAAACACTCCATTAAAAAAATGTTGCTTCTGATAAGCCACCAGCTTGCAAGCCACAGTAGAAATTCAAAATCTAAATTATAGAAGCATTGGCAAAGTTTTACGGATGATAATAGCAGACAAGAAAATTTTGTGTTTGAGCTAAAAAGTTCACCAAAAAATTCCCCCAGATGTTCAGTGAGTTTGGAAATAGTTAAAAGTTCTGTGGTTTGGTGGTGTGTTGCTCTTTTTTTTTTTAGCCCCTGCGCTAAATATATCCTCAATATATTCTCAAGCCTAGAATTGAGCTAAGATGCTCTGGAAAGAGAAGTAGCAGTTTCTCCATTTATACAAAATGCTGTGAAAATTTGGAGAGCTGGATTTCTTTGTCCTTTCAACTGCACTTCCTAGCATATGTGTTAGTTAATTGAAAACTAGAACTTGTTGTCTCTGCTAAACAGACCTTTCCCACCACTTCACTTTTTTCTCTTAAAAGTCCTACAGGAAGGGGGTCAGCAACTGACAGCAACAGAACAAAAACACAAAGCTCCCTGTAAGTTAGCTCACTGGGCACTGGAAGAGCACCCTTAGACCTGTGGTGAATTTACCTAGAGCCCAGGGAAGCTGTACTGGGTCAAAGGAAGTGGTATTTAAAACACACGCTTAGAGCTTGATGCTTAATTCTTCTTGTGTTGTTGTAACTGAAAATCAAATTTGATTAAGTAATAGTTTGTTTCAGAGTAGGAGTTCAACTCGTTTTGCTATAGGTGAGTGATTAAACAGCCAAAAATACTCAACTGTGGGTGGCATTCGTAGAGCTGCAGTTTTCTGTGGCTGAAAGCTTTCATTCTGCTTCTTTTGCATATGCTTTCCAAGTAAAGAATACATTAACATGCTGGGCAAAAAGTGGTTATACACATCAATACTAGGGCTGTTCTTGCTGTCTTGACCACAAGTGACAGTCTGACACACAAGAGCCAAACATGAACTGTTTTGGCACCTCTTTACTATAAACCTGTGTTGTGTAGCACTTCCACCATATCTGCGCGTGATATAAGCCACACTTTGATCTAGAAAAGCTAATTCCTTTTCAGTTCTGCAAGTATTTCAGGATTAAAAGCGAGCAGTCTATTTGTCAGTATAACATATTGAAACTTTTCCTAGTGCAAACATAACGTGTACCTGAAACTTACTTAAAAGCTGCCTTGGTGACTATTTAGTACTCAATACTCTTAGTTTTTCTTTCTTGATAGCAGGCATGCAGACTGCTAACTTTGCCATAGAGCTTCTTCCTCCTTCCCCCAACTACCTTTCTGCTGCTACTGCCTGGCAGCTTTCAAATCGCCATTTCCCAGTTAGGATGTTTGGGCAGGTGATTGAAGAAGAACCAGAAGGGACTAATGTGGCTTCTGACCTACAGAGAACTGGGCCCGGCTTTCTCTCACAAAAGTAAAACCTAAGGCAGAATTATACTGTGCTACCTGTGTTCCAGAAAACAATAAAGTGGGAGCAGCGCTCTTCATGTTTTAAAAATACAATTAAGTATACATATTTTAAAGAATCTTGTTCAATTTAAAAAAATAAACACTGAACAACTGCAAAAATATTGCTCACGTTCAAACAATTGGCCTTATATTTGAACGGGATGCCTTGTGGCTAAATAACAGAAATCCTTAAGTTTTATGCTGCCTGTGTACCCTTTCCATTAAACAGGTCTGTTGCAAAATGAGGATTTATTAAAAATTGAAATGGAAAAAATGTAATGTGGATCATGCACAAAGCATATTCATAAGTTACTACTTTTAGCCAGAGATCAGACTTTAAATTTTATCTTTTTTATATAACAGGTGCACTGAAACTCTGTATGAGCAATAATTTATATAAATTATGTGAAATCTTGTCTTTTATCTGTAAAATGACTTCATAGAAAAATAATTTCCAATTCAGCAAGTGCACTAATCCATTTCCTACTGAAGTTAGATCTATGGCAATTAATTTGTCGCTAAGGTTTTTGTAGAATACCAATTTTAATTTATTTTACACAGTATAAAAGCCACTAAACTGGAGTTTAAGATGCATGAGCTTGCTGGTGCCCTATTCAGTAACAAGTGCTTGACAAGTGACCCCTGATACTCCGTTTGTAAAGTGTGCAACTGAAGCGTGTTGACTTCCCCAGTCTTTAGCTTTTCCTCAGGCTCAAATCACTGGTTGTTACTAATCCTGACAGAGATGTGCTCTCTGATGCATCTTCTTTCTTGAGGTTCAGAAATGATTCTCTAGTTATTTGAAGAATTTCTCTCAAGCCTTTGTTTTCTTGCTATAACCAGAGAAAGAAAAAGGCATTAAATAGAATTCCAGAAAGAAGTCAAGATAACTACGTTAATAACCTCCCCTCTACTCCAAACATGTATAAGGATTAAAATACTGATTTGCAGTCAGGTAGTGCCATGTTATCTTCTAAAACTAAGAACATAAGGTTTCTGACCCTCTTGCTCTTTTGAATGGGCATTATCCAGCCAAAAAACCCAAAGGGCTCAAAACACAAAGATGGGTAAGAAAAGGGTAATTAAGCTCAAATGTTGTATTGCACTCAATCAAAGAGCAATAGTGTTGATCGCCCAATGCTAAGCAACTGAGAATCCCCCCAAAAAGGCACAAAATTGTTATGGAAAAAAATATTTAAAAGCCAAAGGTGTGGGTATTATTATTTTCATCCCAGTGTCTTATTAGGATGAATTTGTATTACTTCCTCGCTTTTTGTTATATTCACAGAGACTTCAAAAGAGAAAAAGCCTAAGTGAGTATATAAATGCAAATCACTGATTTCTGGTGATGAAGTACCCCCTATGCAAAACTTGGGAGTAAGCTATAGTGGGGGAAATAGCACTTGCAGTCCTCCAGCAAGGAGAGTCTAACAAAATGGCAGTGTGAGCCAGTGATACAGTAACTCAATAGAAATAACTGTGATAACATTTACTCCTTTGCTATTTGTGCTGTTGCTGGTTTGAGTTCATACTTACTTCAAGCTGAATGATACGTTCCTGCTCTTTACAGCCGTGCTTTTCATCAATTTCAATGGCTTTTCTCATTACTGCTGCCATTTCTGTAATTTGGTCCACGTGCACTTGCAGCTCCTAAGACATAAAAGTTAAACAATGACAGCTTTACTAATATATTTTCTGCATTATTAAAAGTAAGTGAAGCATTAAATATGCATTTTAACTGCTCTGCCACTTAATAAAAATGTGAACACGGACCTAAATTTTGGAAAACAAGCTCTCTGTAACTTTACAGCACAAGCAGCCCCTGTGGTTCTGTTTAAATAAATCTGGTTTGCCACACAGCGATCCCTTTTATTAGAATTTTAGATATGCTTAAATGTCTGTGTTTTCCATAGCTTCCACATCTTCCAAACAGCTACAAGTTAGCCATGTGCTTGCTCTGACATCACCTTCCTGTGTTGCAGGAATTTATGTGTATCACTTTGGGTATGCAGAAAGACTAAACTCATCTAAGACCACCAGGGTATGTGACATTCTTTCCATTTTTTTTAAAACCTGATCTCAAGTCCAGTACAGCCAGTACCAGCCCACGGGAGGAAAAAAAGAACAGTAGTTTGGCTGGTTCTTGTCCTGTTCCACGAGCAGGAGCGGGATGATAGGAGCCATTAACACAGGCATAACAGCCTTTGCAAGGAAGTTAGATTTTAGATGATCTTCACCGTTTGCAAAGGAGTGATCTCTTACCAGGACCTTGTTGGTTCAGGGACAGTTTATTTTCTTGCTGGCCAACATACCAGCAGGAAATGCTGAAAGGGTCACTCCTCCTTTCCCCCTGCAGATCTAGATAAAGAGCCTATGCCTCTTTGGTATTCATTGCTGTTCAGTTAAGCCAAATATTTTAATACTATTTCCAAAAGCTTTTGTTTTTCATTCTCTTTTCCTCAACTTGTCTGTTATTCCAACTTTACTATCATGGCAGCATAGTCATGTCTGACCTGACCTTTAGACAAAATTCACAATAAATACTAACCATATGGGGAAAAGTAGATCAGTAGGACTAAAATAAAGAGCAGTATAGACTAAAGTTAAATCAGATGTTTAAATTACAAGTTTGACTGGAGGTCCACACATCTAGCAGATGATCAGCTTGCCTTTAAACTACCAGAAATTATTAAACTACCATAAAGAACTGCCTCCCTTGGAATCATAAACTTTATCTGATCAAAACAAATATATTCTACTAAAATGAACATCAGCCCTTTCCATGCTTTCCTCTGCTATTCCAATTGCCAAAGCTATAGTTTAGCTGTTTACTCATTTCCATGCCTGCTCGCTGTCGGGGGTGGGTAGAACTTGCTGTAAATCTTTATTTTCTTCTCAATTCCCAGTGAAGGTGATTACATGAAACAATTTTTCAATGAAAAAATAAATTTAGCTTGAAAGGAAGCTGTGATTGGTGGTAAAAGAATGAGTTAGCAAGGATGTACCCTTGAGAAGGGCTGGGAAGGAGTTAGGGTTTTTAGATAAACTGCTGTCCTCCCTGCTTCCTATTTTGCCAGCTTACTTGGCCTCTTGATCAATATGATTTAGGGCCTGTTCCAAGGTCACTAACATTAGGTGAGATGCTAACACAAAACAGCAAGGTTCTACTCTGGAAGGCAGATGTGTAAAACTTAGATGTAATAATAGCAAAGAATGCAATGAAAGTGCTTCTTTACGAAGATAGCCTCAAACATCTACAAACTGTCTTTGTATTGCTCTCCTTTTTGTTTGCCCTACATTGTTGTTTTTCTCTGAAGAGAAAAAAAAAGCCACACACATTTCAGCTAAGCAAATTCAAACAGCCCACTTAGATGAGGGTCATTACTACCAACACACTTTTCTCTTGTGTATGACACTGCTAAAAGAAATTGTTTTACTATTTAAAGGAGGTGCTTGTTGATCTGCAGAAATGAATGATTTTTTAATAATCTTCTGTAAATAGGCACTAAAGTTAATAGCTGGCACTTGAGAAAACAGCAATTACTGCCAACAGCGAGATTAATTCCTTAAGTATGACAGATTTTTTAGTTAACAAGAGAGAAGTATTTAAAACTGCTTCAAGATTGTTCAATCTTACTGAATGTGAAGGCTTGATCAGAAGAATAAATAATGACATTCCAGAAATCCTAAGTGTCAGGTTAAAGGTGATAAATCTTCTTCATCAGGCATTCTTCTGGGATCGGATTTAACCAAAACATTGAAGCCTAAATCTCCTGTTTAAATAATTTATTTTTTTTCCCCCCAAGCTTGTAATCCATAGAAGTGTTCCTAAATGAAATTTCAAAGTCCATTTCAGGACAGATATAACTTTACCCTCTTGTCTTGGTACTCCTGATGCTGTAAGATGTTATACTATGTGCTAAGGTAATGTCTTTTGAAAAGGATATATACCTGACATTTTTCAGGAGTTGATGTTAAAGATATAGTTCTAATCCAGTAAATTTTTTCATACAAATCTAAGTAGTCCCGTTGATTTCAATGGCACTAATTACATACACATGATTTTGTAAGGAGATAACAAAGCACCAAATTCTTAAACTTTCTTTTCCCAGTGTGCAGACCTTAACTCTGCTTTGCAGACTTTGTTTGTTGAGGTCAAAGATTATTACACACTTAGAACTAATGTTTGTCTACCCAGTTACACTGCTCTCTGATGATTATGTTTCATTTAAAACGTAATATAATACTTTGTTAGAAAGCTCCTGTTCAGATCCGTTAGTGATCTAGAATAATGAATTTTCCTGAAAATACATTAAAAAAGCTTAAACTACATGTTGATGCTTTAAAAACATTTATTAATCATAGCTGCTGAATACTTATATATACCTCAGTCATGACGGTTTACAAAAATGTTGCTTAATGGCACTTTGCTTTTCTAGTTTTCAAAAGCCGTAAGAGGAAGCACACCTAACGCCAGCAACTTTCACCACCCTTCAAGCATCTCAGGCTGCCCTGGATTCTACTGACCAGCAATCCTGATCAGTACTGAAACAAGAACCAAGGGTTGAAGGAGAAAAGAGGAGACGTATATTTTCAGTTATTCAATATTCAAATGGGCTTTTAAAAATATTTTTTTAAATTTATGATATTTAGGAGAAAAAACATTTGAATATTGAATTAAAGAAGCTTACTCCTACTCTCCCCGGTAAGCACAGGTTTACTAATTATTTGTTGGAGTCACAAGCGTAAGTTAAAGCTAGCCTAAATGTCTGTGTATCACTGAGATCTGTGGGTATCAGGAAGTATAATACGGCAGTTGCCTTAAAGACTGAAGCAAAACAAAAGTAAATTAAGTAGATACGGTAATGAAATGCTACTTGTTAAAAGCTTAAATAAATGAGAAGCTAGTAAGGTTGACTTACTTGACTGATCAAGTTTCCTGTTTGTGTTTCATGGACTGGATTATAAAAACTGGGACTTGTTAGTACAATGGTATAAAAACTGAGACAAAGTAAGCTTTGAACTGATCTGCTACAAACGAACTTAAGCGTTAATGTAAAAACCAAAGGCAAAAAACCAATGCAGTTATTACCTTGGAATGTTGTTCTTTTAACTTCATTATTATACTTGGATCATCTTTTTTGCTTGCCATAAGCAACCTGAACATCTGTTCTCTGTACTTGCTCATTATGAGTTCCAAAGCAGACTGATGTTCTTCAAGAGATGTGCGTAGTTCTACCAACATAATTTTAAATTCAGTTAAACAGAGAAGAACTGAAACAAAATGCAAAAGTACTTCAGCTTGAGAAAACAAAAGAAGCCCTTAATTGAGTGTCCCCTCTCCTTGCATCATAAAATCTACGTAGGCTCTGCAAATGTCTTCAGTGGTGACTGCCCTGGGAAAATTCTTGTTCAGTCAGAAAGAGAAGGTCTTTTGTTAAAATGACTTCATATTCAGTCCCTTTAGCTGACATAAGCCATCTTGAGTGTAGCTGAGGAGCTTTACTCTAGCCGCTATAAGCAACACTACACAAAAGCTAGAAAGAAGTTTACAGATCTGTTTTCATCTGCAGTTTGGTAAAATAAGAGTTAAAAAATGCTTGTGTTCAAAATATACTAAGTCAAAGGACAAATAACTCCTGAGATAAGACAAGACTCATACGAATCAAGATCATTGAATCCTTTGCTGAATATGAACGTTAGAATACGTAAGGTATTCCAGGAGGAACAGTATATTCCTAGTGCACAGAATTCCAGAAGGAATTATACTACTGCATTTACACTACAACTTGTCCTGACTGCTCCTAAATTAGTTATTTTTAGCAGTGGGAAAACACATTTCCAAATAGATACCTATATTGCCAAATTCAGTTCAGTTTGTCTCCTCACTTGTGTTGAACATTAGATAAGGACTAAAAAACGTAGTTTTCCACAACACTCTCTTTTTGTTAATCACAGTCCCAGGGGCTGGATATTAGGACTCTTTATTAGATTGCATTATGGTAAATTGAACTGACAAACTGAGATTAGAAGAAAAAAATTCTTCTACAACAATTTTTTTGAGAATAGATCAATGGTAGAAGTCTCACTGATTCCAGGCTGGAACTTGAAAAGGATAGAATATTTACATTTTACCTTTATTTTCCTGTTGCAATTCCCTAATCTGTCTGTTTTCTTGTTGGATACCCATCACTAAAGTAGACCGAGGGCGATGTCTTGCTACTTCATTGAGCTCTTGAATTTCTTCTTGGTACTGGTTATTAAAAAAAAAAAATAAAAATCACAACCACAACATATTTGAGTGACTGAAGGCAAGCATTACTCAGCAAGTCACAAAGGACCAGTTCTACTGTCAGTCAAAGTCTGTAACCAGCAAGATAATTCTTGTTTTCAAATAATATCAAACAAACAAAAACACTTCTGAAGGTGTTCCTAACATACTGCCCTTCAGAGACACAAAAGTATCACCTTTGTTTTTAAACAAGTTTCATACCTCAGATGTGTGTAGTAGGCATTATTTAACCTTCAATTAATGCAGGTCACATTCACCATTCAAGTAATTTAAAACTGATATACACATGGTAAAGAAAAACCATGAGGTATTAACCTCTGTATATTTACTGTGGCCTCCCAATACCTCAAACCACAAAGTTGTATGGGTACAAGTCACATGGACCTGAATGAATGGATCCTGATTCTCAACAATGGGTAAATTTAATACCCTTGATTTGAAGTTACGAAGCCTCTGCATGACTCGCTTTACAGGGATGAAACACATGCAGGGTTTTATTATTTACAGGCCCATTAACACGTCCTGTGTTTTATTAAAATAACAGGATGAACTCCCTTATAGAATGTCAGTAGACACCTTTATGATTTTCCAGAAGTTCTTAGTGAAAGTCACACTCAATCTAACAATGTGCCCTGAATAGCTTAACGTCAAAATGGAAATGATCACAAAAAAGCCTAAGAGGCTACTTTGAAACAAAAAGAGACAATGAAAAGATAAAGTATTCTGAACGGAAGAAAGCATGACAGGCCTCTGTATGATTAACGGTGCATGTTGAAATTAATAAAAGAAGTAGTATTTCACAGAGGAGCAAAACAGAAACCACCACACAATGGTTTGTAAGATAGCAACCCCATTTCTACCAGTGTTCTTCAAATAAATGCTAGTTTTCAATACTTAAGCTAGAGTAACAGAGAAAACTTCTTCACAGGATCAAACTAAATATATAAACAGCCTATTATTAGATCATAGTCACACCTATAATGAAAATACTTAGCATGCTATTAAAGAATTAACCAAATAACATACTGATTCTACATTGTACAGTAGCACACAAAAATGATTTTAAATTACGTGTTTCCAAGTTGTTCTTTTAATGGAGTAAACAAAGTTGGAAAACAAACCTGCTTCATTGCTTCAACCCGCTTGTTAAGAGCTGTAGTCTGTTCAATAAGAGCTTCTGCTGCGTTGTCATGTTCCCTTAGCCGTTCCACCAGTGCTTTGGCATCTGCTAAGGCTTTTTCAATTGTGCAACTCATTTCTAAAGATTAGAAATGTATTATTTTCACACCACCACTTGTTTGCTATACAGAGAACAGCTATCTATGTGATACATATATAACTTTTTTTTCATCTAAAGCAGCTGCATATACCTTTTCCCTCATAATCATCCAGACATTTTGTTGTCTTTTACAAGTAGGAAAAATTTATACATCTTAAGAATACCCAAAAGTCTGCCTTTCCTTTTCCTCCTTTTTAATTGCTGCTGAGACCATATATCAGAGCAAGGAAATGAAAGTAAACTTTGTGTTGTGAGGACAGTATAAATATACTAAGTGCAAAAGGAAGACTACTGAACATACAGAAACTAAGCAGTGCATGTCCTTCTATAAGGAGCAGAGAGAAAAGAAAGAATATTACAATAACTATTTCATTTTTCAATACTACCCTTTTTTTTTTTTTTTAATATGCCCTGCTATCAGGCAGATATACTTCAAGATATTTGAGAAGTATAAATCCAACACAAAAGAGAATGCCAAAGGGACTACAGTGGGCTGGAAGATTTTGATGAATTAAATCATCAGCGAAGGAACAGTTCAAACTGACATAATAAAGAAAATTACTCAAGGAAAATTCAGAAAACTAAAGGCATGTGTTTTCTTCATGTCTATAAATGAACACAAACATCACTACATGAAACAAAACGGTAAACTTTTCACAGAACAGAGAAAGACAGCAACTTAGCTAAGAAAAAGAACCAACTGCATAGTTAAAACACCAGCCTTCTAATTACAGTAGTTGTTAGCAGAAATTACCTATTCTTAGAATTGCTAAACTTGCAAAATGCTTGTACATACTAGCATTTCCAAAATACTGCCTTTGCGTTGAATTTTTTCATACTCATGCTTGATAAATTAAGTTTCAAGACTGAGATTTTCAGCCTAAATTTTTATTTTCTTTTAAGAAACCTTGCACTTTTTTTTACTGAAATCTACTTAAACTCCTTGAAGAGTTCTTCAGCAATCAGACAGCAACAATAGAAATTTATTAGAGGTATGGGCCTTATTGATAGAAGGCTTAACTTTTTTTTTCAGGAAACTTTCTAAGTTACTGAAAGAATCAACTAAATCCACTTCTTAGCCAGGCCATTTGCTAAAGCAGAGATCTTTGTAAGCATAAAAGGTCAGTGAGCCTTTCCTGAGCTACAGGAAAAAAAAATTGCTCCAAGTTGATTTTCTAATTTTCTTAGGCACCTTTACAGATCACAGCCGAGGAGCTTTAAGCCAAGTTTAACGAAATCCTCACATTTTCCTCAACTGACCTTTTCCCACTGTTCCAGTAGACGCAAGGATATTTCAGACACCAGAAATTCCACAATTCCCCTCAAACAATTTACAAACATAGCAGGAATATGCTGCCCTCATGCATTAAGGTGGGGGAAAACTAAGAAAGATGGCCCCAGAGTTTGGAATGTTCTCTCTGAAGAGCTCTCCTGCACCCAGAGCGTCCTGCAAGGTGTCTAACCTCTCAAAAGCTTTTTTATTTGGTAATTTCATTAGACTTTTCCTCTGCTCTGAAAAGCACATGTAATACAAAAGCATTTAGTTTATTTTTTCTGTGTAGAGGGGTCTTTCAGGGACTGTACCATCACAGAAAGGTTGAGACTTGTTTACTGATAAAAGGAGCTCGGTGTATGCACAGAGCACAACTGTTGTAACCTGTGTTTTCTGTGATTCAAGTGTTAGCAAAAGCATCAATGTTTTGGCACATACAAGTTTCCTATAGATATTCATCATGTTAATTCCTTCCTGACTATCAACTAGTGTTTTCATTTTAATTTCCATGTGATGTATATATGTATTTGAGGTTCAAGTCAAGTTCTTCAGCAGACTGGCGTATTATCACAGGTAGTTAATTTATTCACTCGGGTTTAGTAGTTTGAGCTCTTTTTAATATTATGTAGAAAGGAATCACACTGCATTTTTTTTTAAAGATCTGCTTTTCTTGCTCCTCATTTCTCCTTCCAGTTCTGGTCTCAGATGCTTACCAGACCACAAAAATGTCACAGACAAAAGCTGACCTTCCACACTAGCTGGCTAAAATGTTATAGAAATGGATTTAATCACATCCATGTTTAAGGAGAATTTGAAGAGCAGTCTTTAACTCAATTCGTGGGTCATGAATTCTCTAGCCAGTGTTAGCAAAGCCTCTCGGGCCTCTCCATGAGCTTGCAACACATTTGGCATTCGGACTACAATGCAGTTTACACCTCTGATAATTTGTATGCATCAATATAAATTTTTTAACACAGTATATATTCACCCTCCCATGTACTTTCTCATTTTGACCCAACCCAACCACACACGATGAAAAGAAACTCATTTGTAGCAAAGCCACTGGCATTCTTTTTCACAGCGAACGCGTTGGGGAAGACACATGTGTGCCCTGTTTGTAATGCAGCTGTGCAAATTCAGCAGTGACCATCCACCGTCACCATGCAGCAGCTTCGGCAGGCCAGAGGCCATCTCCTGTTCTCAGGCAGGATTTGTACCTCAAAAAGGAGAATCATTATTTCTATCATGGTAATTCATAGTGGCTCCAAATCTTGACTACGATTCCTTTGGGCAAGACACTGGCCCTAATCCTTGAAATTTAAAATTCTCTCTAGTTGCTCATCTGGCTGCCTGTGAAAACCCAAACTTTTGTCTTACCCTGAAATAGATCTAAAACTGTGAGTTAACCTGGACATTTAGGGGAAAAAATACTCAATTAATCAAATAGAATTGATTTAAACAAATTCTTATTACACACTAATTTTTTTTATGAGCATGAGGACTACAGTAATAGTCCACTAAACTTAGTGATTCCTGAACTCTACCCTACAAAAGATGCCGGGTTGCAAACATGTCAGTCTGCAACCTTACCAACAGGGTCAACAGGTAGCAAGAGCGACAACTCAAACAACATAGCAATACTGCTACCATGTACTCATTTCCTGGCACTTCCTCCTATTTACTAATTGCTTTCATCATCAAATTTGGCTGCCCTTAAAAAAAAACACCACCAAAGAATAAAGATTTTTGCGCGACTATAGCCTTCCCCTAATTTTCCGTCTCTTCTTTCTTTTATATCCTTACAGAAAACTACCTTTTACCATAGCTTAATGCTTCGGCTTTTTCCTCTCCGCAGTTACCAGCTTTGCAAGGCTGAACCCCGCCGCAGTTCGTAAGAGTTTCAGGCTGGGTGCAAACGTCCCTTAGCGCTCCCCGTGCCGAAGGAGTCCGTCAGTCAGTCCGTCCGTCCGTCCGTCCGTCCCACAGACCAAAC